ATAACTTTCGCCATGTATCTTGACATGGTGCCAGCTTGCGGGTACCGGATTAGCTGCCTCTTCTGGTCGACCAAGTAGCCTGGTCGACGAAGTCTTGCGGGAGGCGCGAACTTCGCCCCAAGAGGTTTTGGCGAAAGTCAACATGCAGAACAAGCATCACGTGCTCAACAACCCGGCACCTTTCATGCGCACGACTTGCATGCACCACCGGTTTAGCGACCCGCAGCTACTTGGTGGTTGCGCACATGGTCACAAGCGGCTGCAAAGCTGGCAGGCCGACATGCTGCTGTGTTGGCAAGCCGCCTTCCAGCTGCGTTGGCTGTGAGAAAACAGTGAGGAATGAATGATTATGAAAGAAGTGGGTACAAGTAGTAAACCTAGAAATATTGTACCCCATAGTACCTACCCCACTATAGCCTACAAACACTACACCATATATGTTTTGACACACCCCCATAGACAAAGTGGGGGAGAACAAGGGGTCAGCAGACCAGTCAAGAGGAGCAAAACAAGCTCATGGTGGATCACAACGTCACCACACATTCTGAGCACAAGCAAGCCGCCAAAAGGCCAGTTCACATGCAGGATTATAAATCAAGGTGAACAAGCTATGAAGATTAAGAGGTAGTGGAAGTTTAGAATGAAGAAGAGAGGGGTTTCACTAGCAGCAGTTGGGATACATATAGCAAACCCTAACAGGGTTGTACTCGCTATAGAGCACCCCACTACAGGCTAGATAAGAACATTCTGACACAAGCAAGACAATGATCACAACCTAGCAAGTGTAAGCAGGCACGTATATATAGAGATCACACTACAAGTAAAGTCAAGAAGTGAGCAAGTGAGTTAAAGTGGGAACAAGCCCTAAAACAATACAGAACCGCTGATGATCACAAGGCTGAAGTGCCTTGGTGAAGATATCATAAGTGTTGGCCTGAGAGGACACGTAGACAAGACAAAGCTGACCATGCTGCTGCAACTCTCGAGCAAGGAAGTAGCGAAGAGCGATGTGCTTCGTTCTGTGCTCCAGTCTCTGCTCGCGACACAAGGCAAGCATTGCCTTGTTGTCGACGTATAGAACTGGAGGGGAACGAGGCGCCTCGCCCAGGTCGGTCAGCAGGTAGGTGAGCCAACGCAGCTCCTGTGCAGCCATGGCCCCTGCGTAGATCTCAGCCTCACAACGAGAGCTAAGAACAGAAGACGAGTGGGTAGACCGCCAAGAGACAGAACTGGAGCCAAGGCTGAAGGTGTAACCCTGTGACGACCGCTGCGTAGCCAAGTCGTCAACCCAAGAAGCGTCTGCGTGACCAGTGAGAACAACTGGACCCCGTCCCCCAAGCATGAGCCCCATGCGCAACGTACTGCACAAGTAGCGCATCACCCTCTTAGCTGCCTTCCAGTGCTCTAGACGGTGTCTCCCGGGCGCAACGTAGCGTGCCAGGATGCTAAGAGGGTAAGCAGGGTCAGGACGAGTGCAGGTCATCAGGTATATGAGGCAGCTCACAAGCTCTGGATACAGGACAATCGGCTCTACGGACTCATCCGAAGGCAGAGCTGAGAGCGAGTGACCGGTAGGCAGAGGAGTGGACTGTGGCGAGGAGTTCTGGAAGTCGAAGCGCTGAAGGACCTACTGCACCACGTGTGACTGGGTCAGAGTGATGGTGCGGCGTGCTCTCTCCCGAGTGATATGCAAGCCAAGACAGCTGCGCAGCTCACCCAGGTCAGTGCACGTGTGTCTCTTCTGCAGCTCCGATGTCACTGGAGTCAGTGCCTCACGGTCAGGTGTAGCAAAAATCAAGTCGTCGACGTACACGAGGATCTAGAACAGAGGCTGCGAAGTGTCGGTGCGTAGAAACAGCGATGGGTCAGCAGTAGAAGGAGCAAACCCAAGAGCCGCCACTGTAGTCCTCAGTGTGTCGTGCCACTCACGGGGTTCCTGGCGGAGACCGTAGACTGGCCGCCGGAGGCTCCACTGGGTACCAGGAGGAAACGACCCCAAGAAGCCAGGTGCGCGGCGCAGCCAGATCTCCTCGTGCAGGCTGCCCTGAAGGAAGGCTGTGCTGAAGTGAAGAGAGTGAAGCTCGTAGTCACGTTGAGCAGCAACGTGTAGAAGTACCCGAAGAGTGATCAACTTTGGGGTGGGGGAGAAGGTCTGAAAGTAGTCAACTCCCTGCCGCTGACTGAAACCACGAGCCACGTAACGCGCCTTGAAGACAGGCGGAGAGCCCGACGGTCGCTTCACCCTGAAGATCCACATGCCATCGACAATGTTTGCCCTTGGTGGGGGAACCTCGTCGACGTAGGTGCCTGTGGACTTCTAGGAAGCCATCTCTGCGTCCATGGCTGCCTGCCACTGAGAGGATTAGGGACCATCAACCGCCTCTACATAAGAGCGCGGAGTCGGGTTGTCTAGTGCATCCGGGTCTCCCTCAGGGGCAAGCAGCGTGGACACGAGATGAGGTGAAGCGGCAGCCAAACACTGGAACACCTCCTGCCTGTCCTCAAGGACGTCCGTGCCAAGGGCACACTCACCCCCGACGGACGGAGGACAGACAGACTCAGACTCAGCAACAAGACTAGCAGCGTAGTTGAGACGACAGCGAGCAACAAAGTCGACAAGCTCAGCAACAAGAGCAGACGCAGCAGCTGACTCAAAGGAAGGGTCGGTGGCTAGGAGACGTGTGACAGTAGGAGAAGCAGCACGAAGAGAGTCAGAGTCCGGGTCAGCAAGGGCAGGAAGAGAGGACTAAGGAGGAGATGGCAGAGGGACACGCTGCGGAGCAGTAAAATTACGCAGCGTCATCTGGTGTGTGCCAGGAACAGGAGGAGGATGCCAATGCAAGCCACCACGACTAGTGCGAGCAGCACAAAAAGGCAACGCAGGATGAGACGCAGGCTCACGACGCTCAGCAAGGCCTCCGGTCGGACCAGTGTAAAGAGAAGGATCAGGCAGCGGGGAGGCGGGCCATAGCTGTGACTGCAACAGGGCAGGCGGTGGACACTCTAAGGAAGGGGCAGGACCAGTAGAAGGTGGGAGACCAAGAACCTGCTCAAGGAGTGGAACGAAGTACGGCCGCGGCTGCTCAGCACCCGCAGAACCCGCAGGAACAGTACCAGCACCCCCAGCGCCAGCTCCAACTCTAGCAGCACCACCAGCCGCTCCAGCAGCTCCAACAGCACTAGCAGCACCACCAGCAGCACCAGTAGTACCTCCAATAGCACCAGCACCTCCAACAGCACCAGTAGCACCACCAGCAGCGCTAGCAGCACCTCTAGCAGCTCTAGCACCTCCAACAGCACCAGTAGCACCCCCAGCAGCGCCAGCAGCACCTTCAGAAGCTCCAGCACCTCCAACAGCACCAGTAGCACCACTAGCAGCGCCAGCAGCACCTCCAGCAGCTCCAGCAGCACCACCAAGAGCTCGGCTCTAGCGCCGAGCAAACCACTGCTGGGGGGAGAGCGGCTCCCGACGGGACGAAGCACCCGAAGGACCGCCAAGCAAAGTGCCTCCAAACTCCACACGCGCAGGCTCAGCACCCTCAGTCTCCGCACCCCCAGACTCAGCAACCCGAGGCACAGCAACCCCAGGCTCAGCACCCTCAGGCTCCGCACCCCCGGACTCAACAACCCCAGGCACAGCAACCCCAGGCTCAACACCCCCAGACTCAGCACCCCCCGTCTCCACACGCTCAGGCTCAGCACCCCCAGGCCCGGCACCCACATGTTCAGTGCCTCTAGCGGCACCAGAGTCAACAGCTACCTCGACAGGGTCGACTGCGTCTACCTGGGACACACCTGAGGGAGCAGGCACCTGAGGAGGGAGGGGGTCTACCGGGGGAGGACCTAGCGCGAGGAAGAGCGGCGGGGGAGGGAGGGGGGCAGTGCGGTAGGGGAAGAGACGGTAGTAGGGGACCGACTCGTCAAACGTGACGTCCTGAGAGGACAGAATATGGCGCGAGGTGGGGTGGTAAAACTGCCACCCAGGCGCGTCAAGGGGGAAGCCAAGGAAGACGCAGGGAACAGCACGGGAGGACAGCTTGTCCGCAAACAAGTCGCGGACGAAAGCTCGAGATCCCCAGACACGGAACGACGACGCATCGCCAACCTTCCCGGTCCACCGAAGAGTGGGGGTGGTCTCCGGCACGGAGACCCGGGGCTGGAGGTTGAGCTGATGCACCGCGTACTGAATCATAAACGGGCACAGAAAATGGGGAGCAGCCGCATGGATCATGGACGTACGAGCGACGTCCATGACCATGCCAATGCGGCGCTCAGCAATCCCATTTTGCTGTTGAGAGGCCGGAAGCGTGAACGTCTGGCGGATGCCCTCCGCACGACAGAAGGCTCGCAGAAGGTAAGAGGAAAACTCTCCACCTCTGTCGAAGTGCAGACGCAGAACAGGAAGGTCCGAGCCGAAACTATCGCTGAGCTGATCACGGGCAGCGCGGATCCAGTGGATCAGCACCTCAGTGACCTCACCCTTGCAACGCAAGGGGAAGACTGTGGTGTAACGCGAGTAGTCGTCAACGACAAACAGAAAGTAGCGCTCGTGACCCTGTCCACGGGACGCGGGCTGGGCCCCACACGTCCATGTGAAGCGTCTGCAGGGGAGCCTCCGTCGGGGGGAACTCGCAGGAGTGAGGAGCGGCGCGCTGCCGCCCCTCGACGCAAGGAACGCAGGTAGGGGCAGGCCCCTGGGGAAGGGGAGGGAGAGATCGGGGAAGACTAGTAATAAGGACACGGGAGGCCATGCCTCGGAGACGAGGCAGGGAGGGGTGACCAAGGCGGTGGTGCCAGAGGAGAGTCTGGTGAGACAGAAGGTGACACGAGCAGGGGGCAGACTCAGGACCAAACCGGGACGCTGCAGCAAACACGTGACCAGACTCAGCGACCTGAGGAGACACAGTAGATAGGGTGTACAGGCTCAACCCTGGCTGACGGTTGAACGTGGCCAGGTGCCGGCCCGTCCGAGTACAGGAAAAGTGGGTCACCAGCTGACCTCAAGGAGTGAACTGGTCAACCCACGCGTCCTGAAGGTCAGCTCCTCTCACCAAGTTTGTGGAGAACGAAGGGAGGTGGAGGCCAGACAGAGAGCTAGACGGGACCGCCCGACACGGCAGAACCGTGGAGGAGTATGCAAGGACCAGACCCCCAAAGGGGTCAGCCAGGGATACTGCCACTGGCCGATTGAGTAGCGTGAGTGTGGTGCAGTCGCGAAAGAAGGAGCGGGAAGCACCCGAGTCAAGGGTGAAAGTGTGCAAGACCTGAGCCGGCGCGGTACCTGAGGGAGCAGACTCACTGGCACCTGGAGCAGCAGACGCACTAGCACCTAGAGCAGCAGTCCCAATGCCCGGGTCGGGCGGCACACACAGGTAACAGTCACCCTCAGCGCTAATAGTCATAGCATACATAGCAGCAAGGATAGCATCATAGTCAAGATCAAAGATAGCAACCCCCGACCTAAGCAGATCACCCCAGCGAGGGAGCTCCGTGGCGTCTAGAAACTGTGCACGCCATTCGTCAGTCAGGCGGCCAAAACAGCGGTGCGTGGCGTGCAGCCCTCTGCATGTCTTCCCACTGTGCTCGCCGGTGCGGAGAACGTAAGCAGAAGGAACAGCACCCCCAGACCTCCCACGGTCTCATGTGGGCGCTGCTGCTGCTGGCGCTGACCACCACCAAAGCCTCCGCGCTACACACCTCCACCTCGACCGGCACCACCGCCGCCGCCACCCCCACCACCGCCGCCTCCGCCACCACCTCCGCCTCCGCCAGCACCTCCGCCCCCACCGCTGCTGCCGCCACCGCCTCCACCTCCACCACCGCTACTGAAGCCCACACCCCCACCACCCCCACCTCCACCACCACCCCCTCCACCGCCTCCACCTCCACCACTGCCGCCCCCGCCATCCCCTCCAGCACCCTTGCCCCCCTTGCTCCTGCCGCTCCGGCTCTTCCCACTGGGAGTAGACGCAGCGCGGACCGACTCGGTGCCAACGAGGTCGACAGTAGCAGCAGAGGCAACATAGGGCAAAAGAGGGTCTGGGGAGCACCCCTCAAAGAAAGGGGCACGAGGGTCACCACGAGAGGATCCTACAGCGACTATGCTCTTCTCTGCTGCCAAGAGGTGCTCCTCGAGGAGGTCAACGGTGAGTGTGGTGGGGCAAAGGGAGAGGAAGTGGTCCCTAACCGAGCGAAGGGAGTCAGGGAGCCGGGTTACAAAGTAGTAGAGAGTGATGTACATAGGGGGGGGGTTCGCAGCGCAGAACTCAGCAGGAAGCGCAGCGCGGTAGCGGGTATCAATAGTGCGGAGGTGCGTAATGAGGTCAGCGACTGTGGCAAAAGAGGCAAGGTCAGGGAAAATGTACGGTAGCATAAGGCGGCTAAGGGCAGCAGTGGCAGGGGAGGAGTAGTGCGCAACAACAGCATCGTACAGAGACCTAGCGGTCTTGTACTAGCTAAAGTGCGCGCTCTCAGCAGACGGCAAGTGACTGCGAATGGCAAGACGGGCAGCAACATCGCGCGTGAGCCACTGTGAGCGAACAGTACTGTCAGCATCAGCAGCAGGTGCAGCAGAGGCACCAGACGCAAGATCAAACAGGGAGACTCCGTCCTTAGAATCGCACTGCAGGAAAAGCTGCAAATCATCGACCCAGACCTCGAAATCTACTGCTCGACCCTCAGCATCAAAGGTAAGGACGGTAGGGGTAGCCATAACAGCAGGAGCAGCAGTAGCGGCCTAGCAGCAGCAGTAGTAGCGCGACTCGGCAGGGCGGCTCGGTCAGCAGGGCGGCGCGGCTCGGCAGGGCGGCGCGGCTCGGCAGGGCGACGCGGCTCAGTAAAGTGACGCGGCCCTGTAGGGCGGCGTGGGTGCAGCGGTGCTCTTACCAGGGCGGGATCAGGGCTAGGGCCACAGCTGGAAGGGCAGGGCCGAGGCGCGCCGACAGGTCGCTGTGAAAGTAGTCTTAGGGGCCATAGCTAGGAAAGCCCTAGCTAGGCAAGAAATAGTTTAGGCAAAGAGGGAGTTGCACTAGCAAGAATGAGGATACAAATAGCAAACCCTAGAAGGGTTGTACTCCCTATAGAGCACCCCACTACAGGCTAGAGCATAACATTCTGACACACCCCCATAGCCAAAATGGGGTGTAATCAGCAGAGCAAGCAAAGCAGAACAAGCTCAGGATGGATCACAATGTCACCACACATTCTGAGCACAAGTTCAAGAAGCAATAGTTTAAAGTTCACAATTATGAGCAAAGCTAGTGGTAGTCACAACGGGCAAGTGAGGAGGAGGAGGGATAGTGAGAGGAGAGGAGATAGGAGGCAACGGCTGAAGCTGCAAACACACGGGCAACAGGAGGCACACTGGCACAGCGGCTACCGGAACAACGCTCCGGACTACTGGAGTAACTGGCCCCGCGGCTAAAGTAGCGGCAAACAAGCAACGGACCCACGGGCGACTGGCACAGGTGGCTGCAACTGGGCTACCGAAGCAACTCTCTGGACTACAAGTGCTGCTGGCGACACGACGGCAATCTCCGTTCAGCTTCCCCAAACAGTCCCAACCCCCCTGACACACACCCGCTGCTAAACCCCTAGCTCCACTCCCCCTTCACCCCCCCTTAGTACCACTCCAACGGCTCCAGGTCCACCCCCCCCTCAGCGGCAGCTGCAGCACAGAGAGACGGAGGAGGAGGAGGAGCAGGGAACGGCACACAGAAGGTGCACCCCCAGACCCCTCACCCCCAAACCCTAATCCAGAAGAACGGGCAGTAGGAGGGGTGGGGCGCCATAAGAAGCACGGGGGACAGCGGGGAGGGCAGGGGCAGCGAGGAACGGGCCGCCCACGGGCCTGGGACAGGCTCCCGAACCGCGCGCAGGCAGCCCGAGCCGCGCGCGGGCCTGGCATCGCTCGTACGGGCCGCGCGCGGGCCTGGCGACGCCCGTACGAGTCGTGCGCGGGCCTGGCGCAGCCCGTACGGGCCGCGCACGGGCCTGGCGCAGCCCGTACGGGCCGCGCGCAGGCCGTACGGGCCGCGCGCAGGCCACGACGGGCGACGGGGGGCGACGCGCGGGTCCCCATCGCCCGTCGTAGCGCCTCCCGGGAGCGACGTGCAGCGTGACGGGGTTGAAACCCGCCGCGCGCCTCGGGGAGCACGGCGGGCAGAGAACCGCCGCGCGCCTCGGGGCGCACGGCGGGCAGAAAACCGCCGCACGCTGTGAGCGCGCGGCGGGATGAAAATTCTAAACTTGACGCCGCGCACCACAGGGCGCGCGGCGGACAGGGAGTAGCAATAGCAGCGGAAGCAGTGACGTGGGGCCCACAGGCTAGGAGCATATCGCTCTGATTCCATGTGAAAGTAGTCTTAGGGGCCATAGCTAGGAAAGCCCTAGCTAGGCAAGAAATAGTTTAGGCAAAGAGGGGGTTGCACTAGCAAGAATGAGCATACAAATAGCAAACCCTAGAAGGGTTGTACTTGCTATAGAGCACCCCACTACAGGCTAGAGCATAACATTCTGACAGTCAAGGCCGCAGTTGCGCCTGCAGAGAGGGCCGCGACAGTAGGGCCGCGACAGGAGGGGCGGCGATAGCAGGGGCCGCGAAAGCTGGGCCGCAAAAGCAGGGGCCGCGTCAGCAGGGTCCGCGTCAGCAGAGGCCGAGTCAGCAGGGGCCACGACTGCAGGGGCCGCGAAGGTCAGGGCCGCGACTGCAGGGACGGGCCGCGACGACGGGCAGGCGGGCTGCGTAATCGGGGCGGGAGGGCCGCGACGCACGGCAGGGCAGGCCGCGACGACGGGGTGGGAGGGCCGCAACGAGCGGCACGGCGGGCCGCGACGAGCGGCAGGGCGGGCCTCGACGACGGTACAGACGGGCCGCAGCGAGCGGCAGGGTCGGGGCCGCCACGACGGGGCGGGCGGGCCTCTAAGGGCGGCAGGGCGGGCCGCGTAAGGGCGGCGGTGGCAGGCCTGTAAGGGCCGCGACGGCCGGCCGCTAAGGGCGGCGGCTGCAGGTCGCTAAGGGCCGAGACGGCCGGCCGCTAAGGGCGGCAACGGCCGGGGCAGGCCACTAGGAGCCGCGACGCGACGATAAGGAAGGCCCGAGCGCGAAGCACGCTTTGGGCAGGGCAGGAAAAAAAAATCGATGTGGTGGGCCCTAAAGGAAACGGTCCCACTAGGGAACCTGCTCTATACCATGCGAGAAAACTGCGAGGAATGAATGACTATGAAAGAAGTGGGTACAAGTAGCAAACCTAGAAGTGTTGTACCCCATAGTATCTACCCCACTATAGCCTACAAACAATACACCATATATGTTTTGACATTGGCATGCCGCCATCTTGCGGCGTTGGCAAGCCGCCTTTATGCTGCGCTATTGTATGACTTGCTAGGCCGTTAGGTTGCATTGTGATATGCTATGTTGACTTGCCTTTGCCATATTGTGTTCAATGTGATCACTTTCTTATCGAAAATCTTGCAAATTCTCCATGTGAACAGATGAACTTGCACAAGTAATAGCAACACTCTGTCGAAAGACTAGGCAAAATTTAGAAACAGGAAAGAGGATTTTCACTAGCATGCAGTTTAGTACATATAGCAAACCCTAATTCGGGCTGTACTCGCTATAGAGTACCCCACTGCAGGCTACACAAACATCACATTCTGACACACCCCCATAGTCAAAGTGGGGTACAATCAACACAACAAGCAGGGAGAGCAGTAGTTCACAATTATAAGCAAAGCTAGAGGCTATCACAGAGAGCAAGTAAGGAGGAGAAACAGTGAGAGGAGTGGAGATAGGAGGCGTCGGGTGAAGCCGAAGACACACGGGCAACAGGAACGGTGCGCACGGTGGCTACCGGACTACAGGAGTAACTGGATCCGCGCTAAGCAGCAGCAGGAGCAACAGACCCACACGCGACTGGCAGCAGCAGGCTCGCTGGGCTACCGGAGTACTCCACCCTCAGACTACGGGCGCTGCTGACGTCACAACGGCTACCTCCGGTCAACATCCCCCAATTGTCCCACACCCCTTTCACATACTCCCTGCTGAACCACTAGCACCGCTCACACGCCACCCCCCTCGAACCACTCCGACGGCTCCAACACATCCACCCCCCTGAGCGGCAGCTGCAGCAGTGGGAGACGGAGGAGGAGGAGGAGAAGGGGAGGGCTCACACACACGGCACCCCCATACTCTCCATCCCCAAACCCTAACACAGGAGCATGGGCAGCATCGGGGATGGGGTGCAGTCAGAAGCTCGGGGGACGGCGTGCTTCAAGGGGGGAGAAGGTACGGGCGGCTCACGGGCCTGGCGCAGGCCGGAAGAACCGCCCGCGGGCTGCCCGAGCCGCGCGCAGGCCTGGCCCAGCCCGTACGGGCCGCGCGCTGGCCTGGCGCAGGCCGTACGGGCCGCGCGTAGGCTGTACGGGCTGCGCGCAGGCATGGAGCAGCCCGTACGGGTCGTGTGCGGGCCTGGCGCAGCCCATACGGGGCCACGCGCGGGCCTGGCGCAGCCCGTACGGGCCGCGCACGGGCCTGGCGCAGGTCTCGCGGGCCGCGTCGGGCGACGGTGGGGTGACGCGTGGGTCACCAGGTCAGGGGCGTGCGGCGGGCACGGCAGGCGCGCGGCGGGAAGAAAAAATGCCGCGCACTCCAAGCGCACGGCAGGAAGAAAACGGCGTGCGCCCCCGGCGCGCTACACGCAGTAGAGCAGCGGAAGAATCGGGTGGGGCCCACCCACACGATCGACCCAGGAGGGTCGACCTGCTCTGATACCATGTCAAAAGACTAGGCAAAAGTTAGAAACACGAAAGAGGATTTTCACGAGCATGTAGTTCAGTACATATAGCAAACCCTAATTCAGGCTGTACTCACTATATAGTACCCCACTGCATGTTATAGTCTGCAGTCCACTTAGAGGTCGCGGATGCCCATGAAACCCCCTAAGCAGAATCTGACGTCTTCAAACCGCCTCTGTTCAAAACGCCGTCACGATCAGCTCCAATATCATACGAGGCTGAAACTTAGACAGCATTTAGCCTTAGGTGTCTGCTTTCCAACGGTATATGTCAGAATGAGGAATGATGATGCCATTGATGTTGGTTGGGGTACATATAACAAACCCTAACTTCTGTACCCCCTAAGACAAACCTCACTACAGGCTACAACATTTGACACACCCCCATAGCCTAAGTGAGGGGTGTCTAGCAAAATAAAAAAGAGTACGGTCACAAGACCAGTCC